ATTTTAATTACAAGTAGACCTATTGGTAGGCAAAATTTGAGATCGAAATACGGTCATTCTATTGGGTAGTGTATATCATGCTACAGGCTAAAATTCCAGTGAGATGACTATAACTCTAGAGGAAAGGTCTATGGATCCTTATACTTTTGAGGTTTTTCATGTCTCATTGGAATTTACCTTATGCACAGAGTTCGAACTCAAACACGGTTAATCAGTTTGGGTACTTTCCTCATAAGATTTGGAGGCAAAAACGCACATTTTGTTCATAACTTGAAAATTTCATAACTGCCGCTAGAAGCAACTTGGGGACGAACTAACTCAGGGTATATCACTCCTAACTGTGTCCTATCTAACCATCACACCCCCGACCGAAAAGATTTTTAGCATCTCGGATAGTTCCCTCGTTAGAGGTCTATAGTATATAAGTGAGAACACCTTAGATAAAACAAAAGCATCAATTTTTCGTAATTTTCTATGGATGGGTCCCGGTAGACCCTAGAACAGCTACAAAGAGTTAAAAAAGTAACAAAAAAAAACAGTTTAAGATGAAAAATCTTTCTTTTACCATAGTAAAACAGTATAAAAACTTTTTTGTACATTTTCTTTTGATGTCCATAAGATCATACTATCTCCTATATGGACCATTTCAGCCAAAACGGAACATAATCCACCTTTCATTTGATTGTGCTTCTTTACAAGCATTATTTTTTTAAAATGAGTTCTTTTAACATAGACATATGGAGAAATGTTGACTCTTTCAACTGACTATTATTAAATTAAAAATTGATTAGCGAATAACTCTGTAACTATACGAGTAAAAATTTCAAAAACTTCAGGCTAGACTCTACGATACGAACCACATTTATAGTGAAATTTTCAGCAACATTGAACTTCAAAGTACTTCCCATTAAAAATCTGGTTTCTAGAGACCGTATTAAGTTCAAAAACAAAACAAATTTGTCTTACTATCATCTAGCGATTCTGAAGAAGTATTTATACCGTTTGGAATTGGTTTTGAACTTCTCATTCGGCTATAAGAGTACTGTTTTTTTCGTTTATATATTCATACTTCGTCACTTCACTAACGAAAAATATATCGTTGTTTTTATGGAAAAATCTGGACATGTTCAGAAAAAAACTTTGTATAGCGATTTTTTAGCCTCAAGAGTTGTCTACAGAATGTACTATTTAGTTTTCAAAAATATTGACTGAATTCGGAGTTTCGTTTTACTTGAAATGCATGAAATGAAAGTAGACGTCCTTTTTTTTATGGCATATCACTAACATTAGGGTTTTTTACTGGTAACTCTTCTGAACAAAGGTCTCTAGCGGTGATCTGTTCGGAGGAAATTTAGAATAACTTAACATACATGTTAGATATAAAAATTAGCTCTAGGAACATTTATTATATTGAGATACATATGTTTTAATTTTACGAAGCTACGTCGCTAACGCATGATTTTCCCCATATATTTTTAATATGTCTTTTGTCTCTTGATCGTACTATTTCAAAGAAATTGAAAGTTTTTTATCGACTAACTTTCATCTACAAGATGAGTTAGAATACATCGTGCTGCTTTGTATGTAAGTAAAGCACTAAGAAGATTAACTGCCTGATAAAAGCAAAAAATTTAATTTGTATTTATTATATGTTATTCGGAATAAACGAAAAGTGAAATTATAATATCCAATAGATAAATGTATTTATATTCTTCGGATCGAATGACAAAAGTAAATCTCAATTACGAGTTAAAGATTTTTGATCAAGTTCGTAATCATCGGCTTTTTTTGTCGTAACATTTTTATCGAGATTTCAATGTGTAGACTTGACTTCTATGAAAAATTTATCAATTTTTATGAAATATTGATTTTCATTTGTAGTATCCAGTTATGATTTATTAAAGTCTTGAGACAAATTTCTCCTTAAGTTTTATTTCGATATTGATACTAAAAAATTGCATTACTAGATAAAACCTTGATTCATAGTGAATAATTCATCTCAGAAATCACACTCAAATTGCACTTTAAGTGCATTGATTAAAATTCAGTATACTTTAAATTCAATGGTAAAGTTGATAAAATTTGAATATAAAATGTCGAAAATTACTAATTCTTGTCAATCCTAGATGAAAACCTTTATCTCGGTTGTGATCAATAGAATGTGATACTACTTGCATGCACATAGCATTGTGATGAAGTTAAGGACAAAATTTGTGACTAAAGATGATTTGAATTCATTGACATTCATCTTTTGACATTTTAACTAACAAGACTTTGCACAGTTTCCTATTTCTTTAGAATGCTTTTTTTATTCTTATTTGAAAGAAAAGAAATATACGTAAAACGAGATTAATACTTACATTCATTAATTTAATACAATCAAGCACCTTGAAAATAAACGAAATAAATATCTAATTAGCGTTTTTTCTTTTATCTATATATTATAGAAAATAAATTAAGACATTCAGCAAAGAAAAAGAACACATAAGAATTTTTATTAAAACACTGTTCAGATCAAAAAAAGATTTTGATTCTTTTTTTATTTTTTAAAATAATTGACTAGAGTACATCAAATGTGTATTCATTATTATTTGTCTTGAAATGGAATGTACCAACAAGAAAAGCTATACTCCCACAAAAAAAAACTAATTGTCAATTATTATAATCAACAAACACGATAGTAAGAATGATTATTCGTTAATAGTAATAATATAACAGTTAATATTGTATCTAATTCATTAAATATTTAACTTATATTAAAAGTCGATGAAAATAGTGTATTAACAATAGCAGAATCATTATCATTTATTCCATTAGTAATGAGCATTGCTTCTTTGTTGATTTTTTCTTTTATTAAATCATGACGTTTAGCATTACGTCGGTTACGAACTCCATTATCTTTATCCATCATATCTTCTAATGTTCCATGATCAAATAC